CGAATTCGGTATATGGCAAAACCCAAGTTGCTCAAAAGTAACCGAAAATGAGGTCCATTCAGATCCGCCATGCCAATTATATGCTCTGGAATGCTTATCACTCACTCGAATCACTTTTGGTTTCTTTGGAAGTGGATGACCTTCTGTAAGCTCTGTTTCCAGAACGATTTGTATTTTTCCGTCCTCGTTCTTCGCCAGTCCCGTTAATATGTGCACGTGACCTAATAAAGCAAAATTGATGTGGCCATTGCATGACAATCATTTCGTCTTTATTATAAGTTGACACATAAAGTTGCCTGTATTGTCGCTGTTCATGAACTCCATTCGGTCCGCTTCCTCATTGTAGAATATGAAGCCCATGTCACGGTGTCTGAATTCTCCTCCAGAGTATGATCTCGAACTTTGTGTATAAAGGAAGTGGAAGCGCTATATTCAGACTTAATGGGTCAGACAAAATGACATTTATTTTTGTTTGAGCAAAAGAAGTATTATTAGTTAGCAATTATTCATGGCACTATTTTAGAATGCAAAACAGAAATTGCAACGTTGTGATCACATTAATTCCTAGGAATTAGGCTGGCCATACAAATTACCTCTCAATCTTATTATCGAATCGCGTAGAATTGCTTGATACGGCGTAAGTTTGGACTGCATGTAAGCCTATCCACGTATCCAAAATCATGATAGAATGGAAATTGTTTTCAAATTCTGTTCAACGCGCAAAAACGACGCAAAAATATCTAATCAGAATGTTTGCTGAAGGTATGTTGCTATTTTAAAGGCAATCTGCCTTAAAGGTACAGTGGTAACGGTCTTTGCTAAATTTATTGCTCACCAATAAGGACTACAAACATCATTAACAACTGTTTGACTAAAGACTCACATATTACACTGTTACATTCTGGGACATCAATTCATGTACTATTAGTATTTTTCATCAGATAATGACTGGTAGAGTTAGAGCTTCGGAGGATTCCATGACCTCGAAGATGTGGTTTCAATAAAACTAACTTCTGAAGGTTTTATAACCTAAAAGGGGCATTTTTCAAGAAAGCGATTCTTCGTTACAGCTGAGTGTTTCATTGCTAAAGTTATATTCAAAACGACTTTTGCATTAAGCAGACTAGTTCATGTATTTTAGGAGGTTGGTCTACAAGACGAAGCAACAGCTAAGCTGACATTCCGCTACAGGTAGTCCTTCCACTATGATCTCATGAACACTTTATTATTAAAGTGGCAAATTATCAATGCTATCGGAGTCTATCATAATTTTCATCTCGTCTAAAATAGGTGAATTCATCCACCCTTGCTTTATCTAAGACATGCAATCCAACAACTAGTAAGGTTTTCTCGGCCCTACCATTTAGATTCTTCCAATAAAACTCATTCAAACCCTTTTTTTTAAAACACACGAAAATTCGCTCTTTATTTCTTTTACTAAGTTTGAAACCGTTATTTTGCAGAGGATGCATCATCTGACTTTAAGCAGGACTTTTGACCACGTTGAAAGCTCAGCACAAAACCACAGTTTGGACAGGACCTTTAAACGGTTAGATCCACCAAGACAAATCTCTTACCTGTACCAAAACGACGGCTGTCCAATGTGACCAATCGATATGTTCTCATAACATGGATAGGTGTTACTATTGTAGAGGCTGATTGTACCCTCTCCTTCCCATTCACCAATCAATTTGGCAAAAGGCTGCAGAGAATGGTGAACCGAGCAGACGCTGTCACAAAAGGCAATTG